TTAGTCTCATGCACTCCGCCCCCGGGTCAGGCCGCACGGGAAACGACGGCCGGCACGCAACAGCGCTTGTTTGGCGCTCCAACTAGACGGGATCTATGCCCGTTGGTCTCCTAACATAAACGAAGTCGCAACTGGGGGGCTCTTCCTGCCGACCGAACGAACCGAGCATCTCAGAGAGCTCGCAACCAGGACCTGGGCGACCGGGAGCCCGACGAGTCATCCCGGGCTGGGGAGGTCACCAAGCTCAAAAATCCTCATGCAAAAAAAGAGCGCAAAGAGCTCACACCACAAGACGCCAAACAGCCTCCTGAGACTACTACCCTCCTCCGCCTCTCCCTCCCTGGGCTAGTCCAGGGGAGATAGCCCCCGTCGGGGGGGTAACACCGCACAAGTCCGCGCCCTTCCACAGCACTGGGTCTAACTTGTATGTATGTATGTATGTATGTATGTATGTATGTATGTATGTATGTATGTATGTATGTATGTATGTATGTATGTATGTATGTATGTATGTATGTATGTATGTATGTATGTATGTATGTATGTATGTATGTATGTATGTATGTATGTATGTATGTATGTATGTAAAGGGCTTTGGAAGTAGCGAGAGCGGGAAGATACAGGGCCCTGTGACTGGCCTGCATTTAGCTTGTTTCGTCTCAAAAGCGCGAGCGCGAGGGCGTGGGAAATGCGCTGAAACATGTCTAGAGGGGAGGGCTGCATCCTGTGTTGTTTGCATGTACGAGGAGGTCCTATTATGACTTTAAGTAATAGAAGCGAAGGTGCTAAAATGATGATGTAATAAAGCGTGGAAATTTATGAAAACTTAACTCGGCAGACGTGACGGGCGTTTTCTGGGGATGCATGTTTTTTCTTGTCCCGTCTTCGTGTCAGTCAGTATGTCTGTCTGTCCGTCCGGTTCTGGTTCTCCTGGCGAATAAAGAACAACACAGTCTAACGCGCGTGAGGGAAGGTGAAGGAGGAGGGCTCGGGGAGGTCCACACGGCATCCTCGACTTTTGCCTCCTCCCTTTGCCGCCCCCAGGCGATCCTGGACCGTCTCCCGTCTCTATCCGTTTAATAGCTTTGCCCGTCCTCGCCCTGCACTATCCATCTTATGGTTGCCTGCCGTGCTCGGGCGGTTGTTCGGGCGGTGGCCAACCACCTGGTGCGACTAATAAATATAAATCCATTTTACGCCAAAAATTCCTACGGGGTTTACCTTTTTGGTATTCCGCTGTTCTTTTCCCGGACATGATAGTTTTTCATTTTGAAGCGGGCGGCACCTGCGGCGGTTTTGGAAAAAATATGACCTTTTTTGCTCCCATCCATCCATCCATCCATCCATCCATCCAGGGGACAGGGAGGCGCGCGCACACTTTGCTGAGTGGACGTGAATGTGCACAACCACCAGCAACAACCCGTAAGAACGATATTGAGGTCATTTCTGAACGATGTCATCCATTATCTTGCAGCTCAGTGTTCACTGCATTATTCATTATCATCATTATCATCATCATAATAATAATACTGTTACCATTGTAAGGCAGGGGGATTCCCGGCGGGAACAACTGCCGACCGGGGGTGGGGTGGGCGATGGGGCGGGGTGGGGGATGGGGAGAGGGTGGAGACGGAACCTGAAGGGCGCCTCAAACCGCTGTACTCGTATCCGTGATCTGCTGTATCACGGCATTACAGAAAATGCACCGATCGGTGGATGTCAGAAATCTCATGATACAACCGCCCCCCCCAGGAGTGACAACAAGCTGTCACTTGATGATATGAATACGTTTACAAGCACACCAAAAGGTTGGGACAACATCACAAAACCGAAAGCTAAATTACACCGGCTAAGTAGCAAGCTGACATACAGACGCATCTCGTTAGGACGAGCCCGTCGAGTACGACATATAGGAACTCACAACGTCACCACGAATTCGTACAGTTGCGTGCACCTCCCGTACTACTTCCCCTCACTATTTCTGCCCCTCTCCCAACATACAGAACAACCTACATACATACGCACACCAACACCAAGAACACCAAGAGCACCGTTAGCTGCTTTTTTAAGTAGCTGTAGCAGTAGCAGCAACATTGCTAGCAGCAGTAGCAGCACATCTTTGTCTTCCAGGTAATCCCAATGCGGTTTGTTACGTTGTCAAAAGCACGGGGAAACCGCGCAGAGCTCCAGGTTGTGTGAAGGGGAAAGGGGTAACTTCGGGTTTTGCGGTTGGACACGAGTGTCACGGCGGCTGCGCTGCCCTGCCCCGCAAGAAGACGGGTAGCTCGTCCTGTGTGTGTATGTATGTATGTATAGGCAGGGGGAACGGAGACGGGAACGGGAAGAAGGAAATAAAACCATCAGGTATGTCTGTATGTCTGTATGTGGAGGAGCGGTGGTAATGTGATCCAGCATGGGGACAGGGGCTGCAGAGAGGGTAGGTCGAAAGGGTAGTTACCTTTGACACACATACACACACACATACACACACATACACACACGAATTCCACTCCCCCCCCCGACCCACCTGTAACCAGTTGTGTATCCTGGCCGACATCTCCCCAGCGGACCACCTAGGGCTCCAGGGATACTCCCGGTACGACCGCGATGAGTCAGCACCCGGGAGAACTCTAAAATGTACGAATGTACGGAGGGAGGGGAGGAGTGAAAAGAACAAAGAAATGATATAAGGTGAAGTAAGGAGGAGTTAGTGTGCGTGTGTGGGTTATGACGGGTCGGGTCAGAGGATGACAGGTTTCCGTGCATTTCCCCCTCGCCTTCCTCAGCCCGCCTTTTATACACAAACAAACAAACAAACAAACATAGATAGATACATACATACATTACATATATATCTACACATACATATACATACACACACGGGCCTCTACCTGACGCACTGCAGCACCACCAGTGGCTTCTCGGAAGGGAAGCTGCTGCCAAGCTCCAAAGACACTAACACAGGGTTGCCCTCCCAGGCTATGCCGTACAGGGCGACACCCCCCCTCAAATTGAGCTCCAAAAGGCCCCCCAGCAGCTCACCCAGCTGCGTCATCAACTGCAAGTAAAACCACCCGGCGGGGGAAAGGAAATGAGGGGGGGGGACAGGGAAGGGGAAAACCCTGGAGGGGGACGTCCGCCTCAAAAAACACAATGCCGACACACACACCTAACGCACCAGCTGCCGGACTCCAACGCCGTACAATGAGAGGGAGGGAAGAGGCGGGGAATGATGCAGGAAACGGTATAAAGCTGAGCTGGCAAGGGAAAAACACAGATACATACACACACAAGCAAACACGAACACACACACTCACCTGGTGCCGTACCGCCAGGACACTGCAATGCGTGTCCAGCTGTGCTTGCAGCCTCTCCACCGCCAGCGGCACGTACTCGGCCAAACACATGTGCGGCGACCAGAGGGGCAGCTGGAAAGGGGGAACTAATGATAGGGCGGGGGAAGGGCCGGGGGAGGGGGCGGGGGCACCGGTACCACCGCTGCCGCTGCCGCTGCCCGTGGACATGGGCGGGGTCGTGGTGGTGGTGGTGGTGCCGCCGACGGAGACAGTGTGTACGGCTGTGTGTACGGCAGCAGTATCACCTCTCTCGTGTGCCTTGAGCTTTACCAACACCGGGGGAAGCTGTTGGGGGTGGG